GTGGCTGTATGAATGTTTCCCTAAGAAAAGACAAGAAAGTCCATAACTCTAAATTGTTGCCTGTGGATTATAAACAGTTGTTCTTAGACTTGCTCAGGAGCTGGACCATCTTGGAGTCATGTGATTTCTCTGATTTGCTTTGGGCCCATGCACTCAACTGGCAGATAAGTGATAAGTAGCAAGAGCCAAAGATTTTTTTTTCTTTCTTTTAAGTAACGTGTCTTTTTTAGTCTCTCTCTCTCTCTTTTATTTTTTGCTGCAAAATTCTGGCAAGTTTTACATCCAGAACTTCACATAGCTTCCTCCTTCTCCTCATTCAAGTCTCAGCTGAGATTCCGCAGAAAGGCTCCCCTGGTCGTCCTACATAAAACAGGCCTCCCTCACTTCTATCCGTTTCCATGTTATTTCTTTTGTATCTCTGATCTGTTGAGGCTGTATTATTTATGTACTTCTTAAATTTTTGGTCTCCTGCACTAGAATATAAAAGCCACAACAGTGTGGGTTTTCCCTGATTTGTTCATGTCTATATCTCATGCATTTAGAACCGGGCTATTAGAAATGCTCATTTACTTACATGTCCAAAGACAAAGTATCTATTATCTGGAGTTTGGTAGCTGGTCTCCAAAGATGCCCCTGTGAACTATACCTTCTGGTATTCACACTTTGCATAATTCTCTCACCTTGAATCTTGACTGGCCCTTGGTGGTAGAATTGATCGGACTGGATGATACCAGAATAGAAGGCCAGTAGACTCCAAAGGTAATATAAATAAAAAGCATTTTGAATTGGTTTACCTTTGACCAATAGAATGCAGCAGTAGTGAAAGTACATGACTCAAAAGCTATCTCATAGAAAGCCTTGCAGATTCTACCTTGGTATCATGGAACACATGCTTGGGAGGAAGCCAACAACCAAGTAAAAAAGTCCAGCTATCCTAAGACCACCATGCTGTAAGGAAGCCCAGTCTAGCCATATGGAGGGCCATGCAGAGACTGAAATGCTCAGCTAGCCCCCACCTCCCCACCTATTCCAGCCATCCCAAATGAAGCACTAGACATGGGCATGAAAAAGCCATTTTAAGCATCCAGCTCAATTAAGCCTTCAGAAGATTCCGGTCCCAGCCACCATCTAACTGCAACTGCATGAAAGCCTACAAGTGAGAACCACCCAGCTGAGCCCAGTCAACACACAGAACTATGAGAGATAATAACAAATTATTGTTTTAAGCCACTAAGTTTTGAGGTAGTTCACAACACAGTAATAGATAACAATGCAAAATGCAGCCACCAAAGGACTCCTCTAAATTCAAACATTTCTTTTCCCACAAACATTATACATGCCTGAGAGTCCTTCGGCCTCTGAGGCCCCCACCCCCCACCCACGCTCCCCTACAAAGCGTGTGTCTCTGTCATCAACATAATTCATTTTTCACTGTTCACTCCCCTACAGCCCTATGAGCATCCCACTGGAAGTCAGGAAAGCCTCGTCTTCATCTTCATAAGGCTGCTATAATTTTGGCCAAGTTACTAAACTTTCAGAGAAGAGCTCAAGCTCTTCTCTGAAAAATGGTGGAGGGGATCTGATTTTTAAATTTCATTTATGTGTGGCAGGCAACCCCTTCTTCTTCTCCCAAATAGAAATTTACACAGAACACGGGTATACGAAAGAGATACAAGTGGAAAAGTTCTAACTGAAGCAGGAGAGGCTATACATTGAAGGAGTGTTAAGAAGTAGGCACTGCGGTCAGAAGACCTGAGTTCAAATGCCAGTTCCTCTCCTTAATAGCCCAAAGAACTCTGGACCCCCTCAACACCAGGTGTGAAAACCACTGCACTGGATGATCTCTGAGGTCTTCCCACTTGACATGTTGTGATATGTAACATTTATTGTTGTTGTTGTTGTTAGCTGCTATTGAGATGACCCCCCCGTAGCAAGACCACACACAAATGCTGACTAGTCCAACTTTTGTGATCAATAGGGTTTTCATTGTCTGATTTTTGGAAGTAGATTACCAGACTTTTCTTCCTAGGTCATCTTAGTCTGGAAGTTCTGCTGAGACCTGTTCAGCATCATAGCAACAAGCAAGCCTCCACTGATAGGTGGGTTATGGCTGTGAATGTGGTACATTGGCCGGGAATCAAACCCAGGTCTCCCGCATGGGAGGCAAGAGTTCTACCATTGAACCACCTATGGCCCCGTTATGTAACATCTGTTATTGTTGTTGTTAGTTGCCAGGGGTCACCATGTCACATTTGCTGTATAGAAAATAGACATATATTTTAAAACTTTGAGGTAGATTTTAATTTATGGTTTATGTAGCACCATTTATGTTAATTTTTTAAAAAAGAATGTTGCATTGGAAGAGTCCTTTATTGTTTCTGCTTTCTCGCAGAACCAGCTTTATACTAGTGTTTCTCAACAATTATCTGGCCCCTAGACCAGTTTACCTATTTCTCTCAACACAGGTTGTAAGCTTAATTCTTGCCTAATCCCTAGGAAGAACAATAGAGTATTTCCAGTTTCCCAATCCTGAAACCGGGAAACATTGGTTCGAAACATTGGGAAGCATTGGTTTAAAAACCAATCTATTTGATTTTTTTTCTTAAATCTTGTTTTCAAAGACTTCCAGAGTAGGAGATTCCATAGCCTACTATAGATTCTTATTCTAATATTTACTAGCTGTATTCACTAGGAAACTTTTCTTCCCATTTGAGATAAATCATTTAATAAAGATCCTCTTCACATAATGCTACTCAACTTTCGTTCTTACAACTTTATTTTACAGTCTTATAATTAAGTTCCTCAGTATACGGCTCTTCACCGAATTCTTTCAATTTTTTTCCCTCATTTTCTCCTTTGGATATTGACCTTAAATAGACAGCAGAAAGGGTCTGATGAGCACTCCTGGAATTCTTTGACTTATGGCATTGATATATTAAATATCCTGTGTAGCTAAACCCATTACTGAGATGCCAGGTTTCATCTTGATAAGGGCATCAACATCTTCTAAAATATATGTCATCAGACAATATGTGTAAAATTACAGGCACGTGAAGGCACTTTACATAGACTTATATTGGTTAATAAATACACACCCTGCCCAATGTTATAAATTAGGTAACTACTTGACCACGCATTGCAACCAAACTTCCATCCAAATCTTCATACTCATTATTTTCATTCTGCCCCTGAACCTATGAACAGATGCACAGTGTATCTGATCAATGTTAAAAAGAGACCAACATTTGACCAATACTCTAAGAAGTTTGAATAGAAGCCATCAGACAGGGTTTGTTTACCATCCAGTACAATAATGGTAATGTCTTGGTGATGGTTTAGGCATTTTCTACCAGAGCTGTTTCAATTCCTGGAAAACACATCAGCTACTCTACTTTGACATTATAAACAAGAAACTATGTCCCCAGAGTCTTGAAGGAAAAAAAAAGAAACATGTCTCTTAATGGTGCATAATCAAAGAGCCCCCTAAAATCTATTTTAGGCATACTCTTATGTCTCTATTTTGTCACAGTGCAACAAAATTCCTCCTATCATTTGGCTACCGCTGCCTTTTAAATACTGTATTCTGTTTTTTATATAAATCCATTGCCATCAAGTCAATTTTGACTCATAGCGACCCTGTAGGACAGAGTGGAACTGTCCCATAGGGTTTCCAAGGCTGTAAATCTTTAAGGAAGCAGACTGCCCCATCTTTCTCCTGCAGAGCGGCTGGTGGGTTTGAACTTCCCACCTTATGGCTAGCAGCCTATTGCTGAAACTGCATCACCAGGGCTCCTAAACTTTTCCCAAGCATGCTCTGTTATTGCCACTTCGAATCGTTTTAGACTTCCAACAATAAGGTTTTACATTAGTTATTATTTTCAACTATTGTATAGCAAATCAGAAAACTACCAACATATTTGTTATTGGGCATAACAAGTGAATGTGTAGAGCAATGCCTGGAAGACAGTAACTCTCAAAAATTTGTTAATGAGGTTGAGAAAGGGAGAATGTTGACATGTCATGGGGTTGGCAACCAATGCCACAAAACAATATGTTTACTAATTGTTTAATGAGAAGCTAGTTCTGTAAACCTTCATCTAAAGTACAATAAAAAAATTTTTTTAATTTGCTAATGAATGAATGCTTCAGACGCAAACTTATAAATCAAAAGCCAACAGGGCCTCCATCTCTACCCTCAGAACTAGCATCTCAAATCAACAAAAGGCAGGAAGAAGAGGCATTCATTTTATTGGTTGGGTGCCTAGAAAGCAAGCTGCTAATGAGATTTTGATGATTGCCTCTCTCTCACAGAACTAGGAAGGGTTAACCAGGCAACCACTAAAGACAACTACCTCTTACTACCTTGTTATTCCCACATAAAAAAATCGAACAAAACTACTGTTTAAGCAACCGGGGTCAGTCCCCAACGAGGCAATGTCCTGTTTGAATAATTTAGGCTGGGGCATAGGCCAGCCCACACCGTGCATTTGTATGGGAAATCAGCCTCACTCAGTCGTATCCATTTCCTGTATCAAGGGCCAACTGCCCATTTTTAAAATCCCCTTCTTACAGTCAGGGTAGGAAATATAAAAAAAAAAAAGCCCAATTATAGCAGGAGGCTAAATACATTGTAACTTGTTAGGCAAATGTTTTCACCTGCTTGACCAATTAGCTTCCTCCCCCAGAAAGACTAGTTAAACAGGTTTCCTTTTTCTCGTCTTCTCCCTCCTGGGTTGGGGAAAAAGGCTGTCACTTCACTTCGACCCTCCCCTTCCCTGCCTGTGGGCTCTTCCACACTCGGTCCGACCAATAGCGCCGGTTCGAACGTGTCCAGGTTGGCGGCCGAAACAGCCGGCGGGGCCTGGATGCGCCAAGGGGCGGAGGGCGCTGGGGAGGGCGCGGCGCGGCTCGTTTGGCCTGCGCCCGGGAGGGGGGAACGCGGAGGAGGAGAATAGCGTGGAAGAGCGTGGAGATCTGAAGGTGCCCTCCTGACACGGCCCTAATGACTGAACTACAGCAAGATGTGGAAGACACAAAGTCTGCAAAAGTTCTCGGGAAAAGAGAGAGCAAAGTTGGCTCAACCCAGTAAGTATTCTCTGCTGAGACCCGTCCAGGGCAGTAGAAAGCGCGCTTCCCAAAGTTCATCTGCCATGGGACAAGTTTTGTGTTGAAACGGTTTCTGGAACTTTTACATTGACAACCTTGTGACTTTTACTCTTTCTGTGGCGCCGGATCTCTCTTTGGCTGAAACCCCTCGGTAAAGGCACAGCATCAGGAACGCGTTGTAGCTTGCAGTCCGGCGGGGATGTAAATTATTTGAGCCCAAAGCATAATTGGTGTTTTATAATTCCCAAGGGAGATCTGGGAGAACTATTCAAATCTCTGGGCCATGTCAAGAAAGAGTGCTGCCATTTATCTCACTTGTCCTTTTTAGTGACGTGTGTGGCGATTCAGTTGTCCCCTTGATGCCATCTGGTTATTAGCTTCCCGGTGATGTGTATTTTGTCGTTCGATTCAGAGCTTGGGGGTGTCTTTTCCCCCATTCCCTTCACTCTTTCCCCTCAGGAGAGAAGAAAAGTAGTCGAAAACATGAAATATGCTGTATCTTTCCCCTCAAAGACTGCCTGCCTTTGGTTGGATAGTTAACAGAAACTTGTTACCCAAATTTTTTTGAGAGAGGAGTTGGTGTTAGGTCGGGGTAGGGTGAGGGGAGCACGATGAATTTACAGATAAAACACTTAAGATATTGGGTTGCTATTGTCCTCTTAAAAGATTGATGTGCATAATTGGAAGATTAGCACATTATTTAACCTAGAAACCCTTCTGGTCAAAGAGAGTGAAAAATCAAATACTTTGATCGCAAGGATTTCTTTCTTTCTCACACAACACTGAAGGAGCCCTGGTTGTGAAGTGGTTAAGAGCTCAGGCTACTAACCAAAAGGTCGGCAGTTCAAATCCACCAGCTACTCCTTGGAAACCCTATGGGGCAGTTCTACTCTGTCCTGTAGGGTTGCTATGAGTCAGAATTGACTTAATGGCACACAACAACATACCACACTGAGGGCTTTTTTAAAATCCAGAAGTGTGATTATTTACAGTGTTGTTGTTCCGAAACATTCTTGTTTTAAAAATGTAAAGAATCAGTGTTTGCTTATTTGCTGTATCACTATAATATCATATCACTCTTAAGTTCCAGATAAATATCTAAACAAGCCCAATTTAATTTTTTTTAAACAACCCCAAGTTGTTGGGAATGCATAAATACACTATCGCTAGTAGTACAAAAAGATGACAAATTATTTTAATAGCAAAAATTAATCTCCTTTGTTCATTATTTCAGTATGTGCTCGTTTTTAAAAAAATCACAACCAGGCTCCACACAAAGGGTCATGAGTACAAAAGTATGTTCCATCTACACGTCTCTTGAAGTTTGGGCTGAAGTTTTAGAAGGAGGAGAATTTTATTAGCTGCTTTGATTTGTTTCCAACGCGTCGGTGGTATTCTCTTCCAGTATCTCTGCTTTGCTTGGCTCCTTACTCTTTCCTTTGCCCTCCCAGCGTTGTCCGCTTTTGCGAACGCTCTTTATTCTTCGTGATAGAGACATGATAGAGACAAAACTACTGTAGGTACAACCCCCACAAAATGTTTTTGTTTTCTCACCCAAGGATAAAATCCTGACTCTGTAATAATAATTCAAGTCCACAAAATGATGAACTCTCCAATAACATCTGTTATTTCCTTTTCACTTAATCTTTCTTTCAGATACTTTATTTCTCTGGAGGATCACGAGTAGGCAAGGTGGATGGTCATATCCCCATTTGATAGATACAGGAAGTGCCAGGATTGTTGAGTGGCTGGGGCAAGACTAGAACCTAGGACTTTAAACTCCTAGTCCAGGACTCTTCCAAAGACAGTGTTTAGATCTAGTTACACAAAGTGATTCAAGCCTACCCAACAGCTACCAAGTTTTGAAATCTTCACATTCCCTGTCGTCTAGATACTCAGTTAAGATCATTTTGATTGAAAAAGTCTACTATAGCATTTAAATTAATTTTCTTTACTCAAAACTCTTAAGCAGTCGACAAAATAAGCCTAACCGCATTGAAACTCAAGGCTCCAACACAGCCCTTCATTTGAACTGACCGGTTTCACAAATTCATTTCAGTCCAACAAATATTGGAATGCCTACTATTTGTTAAATAATGGTAGGGAATACAAGGAACAGTGTGACTTGGAATCTGTCCTTCTGGAACTCTCAGAGCAGTTTTGGTGGTAGAGGTGGAGGTGGAGGGTGGGAGACGTATATGTACATTATTATACCTTGAGGAACAGTGTGAACAATGTCATTAAATACACAGACAGGGTACCATAAAATTTTTACCTATAACTGAATCTTCTCTACAGTTAGGGTGTTTATCTGTTTGGTGGTATTTGGTAAACTTCTCTTGGTGTGTTTTTGTTTGTTTGTATGTTTTTCGCTATAAAGTGTCTTCCAGGCCAACTAAGATCACTTCTGATTCAATCTAAGATTTTAGACATTCTTTACTTCTGAGCTCTTAATCTCTTTTTTGGTATCAAAATAAGAGTAATTTTAGGAGGGAGGGAGGTAAATTATCACAGTGATGATACTGGTGTGACAATTCCATATTTGAAATCAGTTTTATTTTGCCAAATTTTTACGCTTAGAAACCCAGTCTAACCTCTCTGTTTTGAACTTTGTAACTAAGATTGATTATCCCTAAGCTCAAAGGCTTGTTAAAGTCCAAGTTTCCCAATGGACAATTTCCTCTAAGAGTGTTAGAATGGCTCTCTCGTCCATTTCCCATGGATCTGTAGCCACACTCACACAGGCCTCATCACCTAGGACCTACCCTCCTAGGTAATACCAAACCAAAAAACCAAACCCATTGCTGTCAAGTCGATTCCAACTCATAGTGACCCTATAGGACAGAGTAGAACTGCCCCATAGGGTTTCCAAGGGGTGGCTGGTGGATTCGAACTGCCGATCTTTTGGTTAGCAGCTGTTAACCACTGCATCACCAGGGCTCCACCTAGGTAATAGTAGCTGGCGTTTATTGAGAACACTTGCTCTGTGACAGGCAGTGTTCTCAACACAACATGCATCTTCTCACTTAGTGAGGTAGGTGCCATTATGAGCTTCATTTTTACAGATAAGAACATTGAAGCCCTGAGAAGTTACACAACTAGGCAGAGACACACAGTTAATAACAGCTCAAATCAAGCCCAGGTCTCGTAACTCTAGACCCTGAACTTGTAACCACTGCACTACACTTTAGCCATACTCCCCTGCTTGAGAATCTACAATGGCCCTCCATGGCCTGCTCTAAGAAAACAGGCTGCTATGCCAGGATTTCAAGATTCTAATGATCTGGCCATACATAAACCATTCCAACCTCATTTCCTGATACTAGTCCACATGCACATCTTTTATAGCCAAACAATCATACTAGCAGCCCTATGCTTAAAAGGTAGTAGGTATAAAGAACAGGTATGCCAAAGGTAAGGAGCTCTGGTGGTACAGTGGTTAAGCGCTCCTGGCAATCTGTTTACCTGAAGGTTACAGCCTGGGAAACCAATGGGGCAGTTCTGTTGTAGTTACATAAAGTGTCCTATAGGGTCACAATGAGTCGGAATCAGCTCCAAGGCATTTAACAGTTAAGAACATACCGAAGGTAGTAATGAATGGTAGTTCTCTACCCTCTTCCCTTCTCTCATTCCTTCCTCCATCTCTTCCTTTTTCCTTTCTCTTCACCTCTGTTCCTTTAGTTCCCTCTCCTTTCTCTTAAATATACTTCTAAAATAACTCAAGTTTTTCTTCATTTAAAGCCTTCCCTTTTCACTCCAGGCCTTGCTCATCTCTTATTTGTCAGCATTCCCCTTGTACAGATGCGGTCACCCCCACAGAACTCAGCTTCTACTATTTTCACTATTAATTAACAATTAGCATTTATTGAATGTTTAGTATGTACAAAGTACTGTTGTAAGCTGTTAACATATCTTAACTCACACACTAGTCCAGTGAATATTAGTTATCTTTCCCCAAATAGATTTTAAACTTCAGTGACATCTACTCTATTGAATTTCCCAGAAGGCCTAGCAAATAATCATTTTCAATAACTGTTAGTGGGCCAAGGAGAGTGAGATCATAGGTCCCTCTAATTAAAGTGGATGATATGCTCATAGTTGACATTCAGCTTGACTGTCTCAAGGGAAATTCTACTTTTTAAATTTCTTAAATATTCAGTCAGTAGCAGTTAGAATTTTTAGGTACATTTGCTTGCCCAAGAGTAGTGGCTTGTTTACTCATCCTTATGCTAAAAGGTGAGGCTGTGGATTTACTCATCACCAAAGTGCATATTTGATTTTAAAAAAGTACAGTGTACTCTTTTTCTGACAAAAAAGGTAACTTAGCTGCATATCTCCCTCTTGAAATTCTAGTTTCCCCTTACTTTCATTACCGTTTTCATTCTGAATTTTATGTTCCCAATACAGAAACAGTTCTAACATAGCCTAACTTTTTTCACATACATTTTATGAGATGTACTTTTATTTCCCAAAAGTCTGTAGTGAATCTGATTTAGTAAGGGCCAGGTTACTTATGATGAATTTCAACAAATATCTAAAACTAATGCTGCTATGTTTCTGGGCTAACGCTCTCTTGCTTCATATTTCAGATTATGAATTACATTATAGCAAAAAGTTTTGTGCCATCCTTTTATTTTTAACAGCTTTTTTAATGATACAGTTCATATACTATACAATTTACCCATTAAAAGTGTGCAATTCATTGGGCTTTAGTAGATTCACAGATATGTACAACTATCACCACAATCAATTTTAGAATATTTTTATCACCTCAAGAAGAAACCCAGTACCCTTTAGCTATCACACCTCTTCCCTCTTCTACCTGCTCCATCCTTCCCACCCCATCTACTTGTAGCACAAAGCAACCACTAATTTACTTTCTCTGTCTATAGATTTCCCTATTCTGGACTTTCAGATGAATGGAATCATATAGTATGTGGTCTTTCGTACTAGTTTCTTTCACTTAGAATAATGTTTTC